CACAGTTATAACTGTTTGCCATCAAGGCACGATTGAACCTCCTTGGTGTTTCCGTGTTTGCAAAGCAGGCTTGCACTGTGGCCGACACGCTTGCGCTGAAAGGTGCTGCCCTGGGGAGCAAAAAGCCATTGAACGTCAGGCCATGCGGCGGAAACTCAAGGCCCACCTCAGACCTAGTGACGAGGATGTCGAAGCCGAGCATATTTGCACGCGAGTCTGTGGTCGTCCGCTGAAATGCGGAAGGCACACATGCCCCGAAATCTGTCATAAGGGGCCTTGTAACACTTGCCGAGAGGCAATTTTCGAGGACATCCCGTGTAACTGCGGTAGAACTGTTCTGTCTCCACCCTTACCCTGTGGGACTAAACCTCCAGCTTGCTCATTTCCTTGTGAACGGCCTAAGCCCTGCGGCCATCCTCAGACACCTCACAATTGCCATACTGACGAAGAGAGCTGTCCCAAGTGCCCGTTCCTCACCGAGAAGGCCTGTCTTTGTGGCAAACGTGTCTTGAAGAACCAGCCTTGCTGGCTGGCGGAGACGCGATGTGGCCAGGTGTGCGGTGAACCGCTTAAATGTGGCTCTCATTCCTGCCAGAAGACCTGCCACCGGCCTGGTGAGTGCGAGGATGCCTCCAGACCTTGCCAACAGCCATGTGGAAAGACCAAGTCCCTGTGCGGTCACCCATGCACTGAACCCTGTCATGCCCCATACCAGTGCCCCGAGAAGACGCCCTGCGCCTCCACAGTCACAGTAACATGTGGCTGTGGACGGCTTCGTCAATCACGTCGCTGCAATGCAGCAGCGGCATCGAAGGGACCGGTACCGCAGGCAACAAGACGGCCTTCCCTGACCCCGTTGACATGCGACGACGAATGCGCTCGCCTGGAGCGGAATCGTGCTCTGGCATCTGCGCTTGGCGTCGAGATCGACCCGTCCACCACGGTTGCTTCGAACATTTCTCCCAACACCCTACCTTATTCAACAGAAACCCTGGACTTGTATCTCCAGCTTTCTTCCACCTCTCCGCTGTCCACTCTACAGACGTACGAATCAACCCTCCATTCCTTAGCAGCCAGCACCACACAGCGATCCGTACGCTTCCAGCCCGCCAAATCCCCGCTCCGTGCGTTCATCCATTCCCTAGCCGCGGACTGGGGCTTCGCCAGCGAGAGCTTCGATCCAGAACCCCACCGTCACGTCTTCGTCCTCAAGCCTACCACATGGACCACGCCACTCCTCGGCTTCGGCCCAGAGAACTCCATCGGCATCGGCGGCAAGAGTGTCGGCGAATGCGTCAAGCTCCGCGAACGCCAACGCCTCAAAGAGCGCGAAGCGCAACGGCTCGCCGCCGCCGAAGCCAAGGCTCTCAAGGAAGCTGCCAAAGCGCAGCAGTCCACGGATACAGCCAGCGACGGCGGCTGGGCCCAGGTTGCTGCCTCCCGTCGAAGCAACGGCGTAAGCTCGACGAGAAGCACAACGCCGGTTGCGAGTGCTAGTCCGTGGTCCGGGTCGAAGTTCGCGGCCCTTGCTGGCGGCGACAGCGGGAGCTGGGGTCTTCCTAAGAAAGAGAAGCTCGTTCTTCGGTCCGGCGTAGGAGCCGCGAAGAAGAATCTCTCCACTCCGCCTGCGACTGAGGTCGCGGATAACTGGGAGGAAGAGGAGGAAAAGGTGGAGCAGGAAGAGGAGCGCGAGCGCGAGCGTGAGCGCGAGGAACTGTCGGACGGGGAGGCGCAGCCCAGAGAGGAGAATAATGAAATAACTGGCGCAACGGATTCGGTTGAGATGCCTGTCGAAGCAGCTGTCTCGACGGATTGACTGACTGACTGATTGATTGATTTTAAAGCTGGATGCATTGCTATCTGCTGCTCCGGCCATATGCCACATTGCATGGATGCGTTAGGTGTTTTGTTGACTGTCATAGCAAGCGTGGGTTTGTACGCATATGACGTCTGATCCAGATGGATTCTAGATAAAAGTTACAGACGGAATAGAAAGGCTTCCGTTAATGAAATTAGGCAGCGCCATGCTGATATGAGATTTGTCCGAGAACGTAGTTTCTTTCGCCTTATGCTATCTGATATATTTAACTCGGGTGGAAGAGACACTCCCTCAACCAAACCTACTTCTATCCGACTAAAATAACTCGTCAAGCACCATTCCGACCCAGTCAAGTCCATAGATGCATGCTCTCCCCCAGACTCGGCGGCAGATCACCCACGCCAGTCCCCCAATCACTCTCCTCCTCGCCCAGCGTCAACTCGAGCGTCCACCCCTCTATAAAGAACTCATGACCAATCCAATTCTTGTTATACGGCTCCCCATTCAGCCTCGCGCTCTGGATATATATGCTCCGGTAGGAGCTATCGAAATTGACATTCCTTATCGTCGCGGTCTTGTTCGTCACGGGGTGAGTGATGCTCACGGCCTCGAAGAAGGGCGGGATGATGAGGTACACGTTCTGCCCGGGGTTGGGGAAGAGGCCCATCGTCGTGAAGACGGTGAAGGCACCCATGGCGCCCGAGTCGTCGTTACCGGGGAGGCCGGATGTGGAGTCGTTGAACGAGGAGGGGATGTAGGCGTGAGCGCGGGCGGCGGAGAGGGCCGGCCGGCCGGCGTAGTGGTATTGGAAGACGGTTAAGAAGACTGGCTCGTTGCCGATGTCTGCCAGGCCGGAGGTGTGGAAGAAATTGAGGCGGGAGATGAAGGTGTCTGGGCCACCAAGGAGGCGGATCAGGGTGGCCATGTCGTGGGGGACGTAGCTGGGTTTTTTTGTTAGTGGGTTGAAGGGTGCATTGGGCTTGGAAAGGGCTAACGTACAATTGGTATTCCCAGACGCTGGACTCGAATGTCTCGGAGGGATTGGAGGTTAGTGAACAAAATGAGGCCAGGGGACTGCAGGCGATGGGATCTTGGTAGCCCCAGGTACCGTTGAGGTACTTTGGTTGGAAGAAGCCGACGAAGCCCGTGTCGGTGCCGTTGATCAGGGAGTGTTGGTCTGCCTTGTAGAGGTTCTGCCAGTTGCTCGCTCGAGAGAGATACTTGAGATAGTCACGCTTGCGCAGACCTCGTCCAACAGTGGCCAGGCTGAAGTCGTTGTAGGAATACTCCAGAGTACGTGAGATGCTGCGGGAATTGGTCCCAAAGCCTAGGTAGTCAAAGTCGAGGTAAGGAATGTAGTTCAGACGCTTCCAGCTCTGCAGACCCCCTCGTCCTTCGTACGACCATTCCAAGGGCTCGTTCTCCGCATCGTTGACCATGGCTTCATACGCGAGGTCCCAATCGATCCCGGTAAGGTTCTTGACAAAGGCATCTGCCAGGACGATATCCGCGTTGGATCCGCCTTGGGTCCAGCCCTTGCAAAGACTCATACGACAGTCCGGTAGCCAACCTTCATGCCTGTAGGTATCGAGGAGACTTCGTACCATCCGCGATTGTGCGACAGGGTCAATTATGGTGAGAAACGGGTGCTGGGCCCGGAAGGAATCCCAGATACTGCCAATCATCAGCGATCGAAGAAATAGCATATCATTCTGCAATACATACCAGTAGAAGGAATCATAGTACGGTTCATCACTGCGCCAGAGCGGATTCTCGCCCGTCAAGTCCTGAGGAGACAGCATGGTCCGATACACACCACTCCAGAAGATCTCGAGAAAGTCCTCAGCCACGCCTCCCGCCTGCACAGAGATAGGGCTGAGCTTCTCGCGCCATGCACTCTCAGCCCGCTCTCTCAGCATATCAAAGTCGTCTTCCGGATGAGGGATCTCCTTTTCTGCATTCTCGCACGCCTTCTCCGAGCTGATAAAGCTCACCCCAACCCGCACAGTAACCGTCCCATCCTTGGGACGTCTGAATCTCATAAATCCACCAGCCTGCAGATAGAACAGATTAAATCCCCGCGTGACAAACAGCTCCTGAGGCTCGGTCCCCGCGCGGTCATTAACCCAAATCCCACTATCCTTCACAGCTGCACCCCCGAAATCCGCACAAAAGTATGAGACATACGTCCCGGCCCCAAAGCTAGGCAAGAACGTCCCATTGGCCGTGATCCGGCCATTCTCAGCATCAACCTTGATGGACGCATTCTGCCGACTATCCCACGCATCCGTCAAATCAACCAGAATCAGCGGACTAAGCTCCGACCCGTCTTGAGCCGTTGACGATGGAAGGGTAAACCGGTACAGCGCCGCATGCTCCGACACCGTCATCTCAGCCCCGATCCCGTTCTCCAGCGCAAGCGCAAAGTGCCCCGGCCGCGCAACAACTGACTCATTGACATAGTGCACCCCGCGTGCAGCTTTGGGAAACTGGCAGTTATCCAGCACATCGTCCGGGCAGTACTGTGGGAAGAGGGGGAAATTGGCCAGCGAGGGATTACCCCCCGAGCCAGAGTCGTGCATGCTCGAGAACCCGATGACATGGCTGCCGTCTGTCGCGAAGCCGCCGGTGTTCTGGCCGTCGACGTCGGCGACGGCTTTGGCCATGCCGTAGGGGAGACTTGCGCCGGCGAAGACGTTGCCGCCGTTGGTGGAGCCGATGAGGGGATTGACATATTCGAGGATGTCATTTTCAGCTGATGAAGGTTGGCCTGCAGCGAGGCTTGTCCATTGGACAGGTAGTAAAGCTGCGAAGTTCATTAATGCTACCATTTTCGTGGCGGATAGTGGGCACTGTGTTGGTTGTCACCCGTTGGGGAGGAGTATCCCCAGTATGAAGACGAGGGTTGGACATGACGGCACTTGTAATATATGGACGAGGCATAATTAATTTGCTGATTGTCAATGTCAATGCAACGTTCCATGCAGAGAAGGAGAGATCGACAGTGCTTGACAGGAATGATGCAGACAGAGAGGTTGCTGGGGAGGAGGAGGAGGAGAATGCGGTGCGGGGTAAATAAGATAACAATGACCACACTTACTGCTCCAGCCACAAGAAGATAGAATGGGGACAAACAGTCTTGAAACGACGCTTCTTAAATCACTGGAGGCTTCTATGCGCCATGCCACATCCCCCTCTGAACATAGTCGAGTGTCGTGCAGTGATAAGATACAAACCTTGTCTCATATTCAATGACAACGAAGTCCCCTATGTCATTTGGTTCGAAGATGCCCTTCTCTTGTATGGAGTTCCCACGGTGCTGTTTGATTTATACATCCTTGTTCTGGACATCGATATAGCCGCCGACTACCTGATCAAAGCTGGATGGACTGTCGATACACAATCCCCTCGTCGAGTTGGAAATGCAGAGGTGAAAACTCGGCAACAGCGGCTAATGACTCCGGATAGCCAGACAACGACCGTCCTTCTTCTGGCATCAGATTGGAAGTTTCCGCTCACGGATGACTCTACCCTCGAACGCCTGTTTCTGGAGGAATTACCAGACCAAACATTGTCGTTTCCCTCATTGTCGGGCTTTCTTGATGCCCTGATTGAGACCTGGCTGGATAGTGACGATGATTCAGTACTGCTGCACTTGGCTGTTCAGATTAACTACCTCTACGGACATGCTCCAGCTTTGAAAGAGCGATCATTTGCCAACCAGATGAAATATGAACATCGCCAGTTCCACTTTGATGTGCTTGCAGGGATGTCAACAACACTCCCATTCAGAAAGCACCAACGTGGGATTCGAGATGCACTTCTACAGGGTCGATATGAGCTGCAGGAGTGCTCAGCGCCTCGCGACAATGATGACTTCTTTAATCCATGGAAAAACGTCCGCCTACCACCCCCTCCGGAAAGTTAGTCTATGGAGTAGGTGCGCTATTTTGATCAAGAAGAGTATGGCTCAGATTTGTGGTAAAAATGGAGTGAATCCCAAGCGGTGCAATAAGGAAGCCACCATAACGGAATTAGCCATTTTCCGCTGGAGACGGGTTGCCCGCTACATGTATCTCGATGACTTTGCGAATGTGGTGCGTCAGAGGGATTTCGATGGGACTTGCAACGACGGAGGTTGGCAGGAGGGTGTCCTGGTCCAGGGCGAGCAACTACGACGGCAACTGCGTCCACATCATCTACCACAACGGGTGGTGTGCTTTCTCCCACCATGACTAGAAGACAACCAGCTGTATTTATTGCATATCACCTGGTTGTCTCTGGTGATGGATTTTATGCCTTGGCTGCTACGTAAGGCATTTCTGGCTGATGTAAGTTCATGCACTGCTCCCCATGAGGAAGAATTCATACCTAGTAATGTTGATTTGCTAACAGAATATCACAGTTTTACTCTTGAAAGCCTGGTGTGCGAGCCGACTGCAGTACTTTTCAGTAAGAGTATTATTGCGTTGCGGTACATGGGGTATGGTTGCGCTTGATATGCGAGGACCTACGAAGCAAGAATAATCTCCAAGACAGCGGTCTTCCATTAGTATCTGTAAACTCGAGACTCCCAACTCAACCTCTATAGAAATGGTATCTCTAAAATGAACTCTTGAATTATTACCCCTTAGATCATCACACCCTTGTTCTGGTGCTTGTTGACATTGTAGTTCTTCCAGACGGCAATGGCAGGAATCCCCAGAATCAAAATGCAAGTAGCGGCAACCGCACCATACATCTGGCTGCGGCCCCAGGCATAGTTGATCGCGTCACGAGCGGCCGAGCCCATCGGATATGTTTGCTGTACTGTGTATCCGCCCATGTAGATCGAAGTGGCATTTGACTTGAGGTCCGCGGGGAGACGAGACTCGAGAGCGCCAGGGAATACGTTTGTATAGATGGCAGCCGCCACGGCGTATCCAATGGCACCTCCCAAGCTGGAGAAGAGTCCGATGAACGACAGCATCATGGGGACGCCCTCGCGGTTCGCAGAGGCCATGACAGCCATCTGCTCGCCGATGACAAGAGTGCCACCGCCGAAGGCAATGAAGATCTGGCACATGATCACGTAGCCGATGTCGTCCGACTGACCCCGAAAGTGGATCATCAAGCCGGCGCCCAGGATCATAAGCGGTAGGCCGAAGAACAGACAGGTGTGCTTGAAGTGCTTGGTCCAGCGCACCCAGAGGCCGAAGACGACACCCCAAAAGCATGAACCCACGTTGTAAATCTGGGTCATGTAGCCAGTCATTGCGGCGTTGAGGTTGTAAACGACCGCGCAGAAGTTGTAGAAGTAGAGATCCCAGCAGTAGAAACTGAAGTAGAGCGTTGCGGCCATGACACAGGCACCCAGGACCGTGCGCTGCTTCAGCAGTTCGTAGTTGATGAAATGGACGCGGGCAAACCACTTCTCCCAAGCGGCGAAGACGAAGAGGAGGCAGAACCCGATGACGACCATCGCGATGAAGGCCGCGCTCTTGTATTCGGCACGACCGTTACTGGCCAAACTGAAGGGCAGCAGCAGCAGCACCCAAGCGGCCATCAACAGGAAGGCACCGACGACTGGTAGCAATGTTAGCTGAAATCTCGTTGGTGGTGAGGACAGGAATGTTAGTTCAACATACTATCAAACTCGTGAATATAGTGGGCCACAGACTGTGTCCATGTACGACCGCTAGGCTGGCGGACATATAACCCCATCTTCTCAGCCTTGAGCTGGTACCGTTTGAAGACCACTGCGAGCGGCGCAAACGCAACGGGCATGATGATAGCAAAGGCTCCATAGGCCCATCGCCAAGTCGTCATGCGGAGGAAGGACGCAGCAGCCAGAGGGGCGGTGAACGCAGTGCAGATGAAGGGGGTGCTGGCGAAAGCGAAAGTGAAAGCTCTGTTCCGCAGGCCGGACGTGTCTGCCACGAAGACATCGAGAATCAGGTAGATTGCGTCGTACCCGATCCAAAAGAGAACGTAACCCGCTGCATAGGAATCGGGCCCGTTGCATGCTGCCAGAATAATAAGTCCAATGGTGTAGATCGCAACGAAGACGAGGAAACCCTCGGCACGACCCCAGAGATTGAGAATCTTTGCAATGGGAAGCTTGAGCACGCCGCCGATGATACTGGACAGGATGTTCGCAGTACTGATCTGAGGAGCCGACTGGAATCCGCTGTAGGCGTTGTTGATGACGTTGCTACTGATGCCCGACTGTAGGGCGAGGAGGAAGAAACAGACCCAAATCCTGGAGTGGATGGTCAATTAGACGAGCTCGGAGCAGATTAACCCACTAAATCGACTTACCAGGCGTAAGTTGCCCAGACTGCCTTCTTGCTCCAAACCAGCGCAGCCGCTTCGACTTTCTGGACACCCAAGTGAGCATCCGCGGTGACCTGATCCGGATGTTGCTGGATTTCTTTTTCATTACGAGCCTCCAGACTCAGCCTTGATGAATCAGTGTCGGGTTGATCGCTGATTTCGGGACCTTTCGGTCTACCCTCTGCAGCATTGGCCTCAGCACCGGGAGGAACCTGCGGAGTGGCTTTGTTGCGAGCCCCGAAACTGCCAAAGATCCCCATGCTAACGTAGATTAGTCCGCCTTCCAGTCTTTCTTCTAGGTTAGGTCAATTATATGACACTGATTTCTCCTAGCAAACCGAGAGAATGGCGTGCCCAGCTTAGCATGAGTAAAGACTGAAGTCAGGTCAAAGAGACTGAGAGACAAGACCCTGGAAGAAGGGGGAAGGCAAGTATTCATATGGTACGGAGTCATGGAATGGGCTCATTTATCTACTGGTCTAGTCCAAAGGACGACCCAGGCACCGTAGCCATGGGCCCATGAGTTCCTCCACTCAGCCGACAAGGGAACCAAACAGAACGCGGAAAGACAAATTTTCTGCTCGTCTTTTTCCTATTTTGCATGACACACACCTGCTTCTTGCTAGTCTAATCGAGCGTGGAGCCCACACTACTAGAAGACTAGCTTGAACGCCCGTGAGTGGTTTGAGGTCTGAGACTCTGAGAGGCGTGGGACTAGCAGCCGCTGGCCTGATCAGATAGCATTTTCTGCGGAAGACGGATCAGATAACTTGAGAAGGTTAAGATCATTGGCGTGATTATTTTCTCGCGTACCACGGCTTGGATGAAGTCAGAATTATGATTGGAGGAGGAAGAGAGCGGGATATGGAGTCGAGCCAGCTGAATGCGCAGCGATTGGCGTTTGGAGCGACAATTTCCGGTTGTGGTGGTGGTGGAGCACTGAGTCGGTTAGATAGGTCTTCGTCATCATCAATTTTCTTTTTTTTGGTCTTCTCTCAAAAGCGATATCCAATTACTTTTGGCCAGTCAAACCTTCAGGGGAAACTCGATAATCCATACAGAGATGGCCAACATTATATTCGAAGTCGAAGTCGAAAGCGTAAAGATAGACGGAGTGTGTCGGAACTGGCGAATGGATCAAAGCTCCTCCCCAAGCCCACAGGACGTCCTAACTCCTAGTCATTCTATCATACAGGTCCTTGTGGCTGCCCTCAAGAATATTACTAGATAACAACATTAATAACCATGGACTACTTATCGAGTAATAGTTCATGAGGCGCCAAATGGGTTTTGCATCTCCTCCCTGATGTCCCCGAATTTGGGATCCGGATAAACGAGAAAGAGCACACCAAATTTTCAATTTCTACACCAGTGGAGCAATGAGTCCCAGCTATTGCTTCTAAAAGGGTCTGGGAGTTGAACGGTCACCAATGTCCGCTAGTGGTGGTCATCCAGAGAGGCATTCCCTTCTTTATCTGATCAATTTTATCTGATTTGTGCGTTTTAGGCTTTTCTAGTATCCACTATGGACAACGACAGGAACGCCATGAAAAGAGACAAGCAAACCAAGAAAAGAGCAAAAATATATACTATTATAAGCTAAAAAATCATCTTTCTGCCTCGACCCTCAATTTCCAGGTAAATCACCATCAGTTATGTATTGGAGTGCGGCACAAACCTTCCTTTCCTTTGCAGAAACATTAAGGAAACCCTTTCCGGCTTATCTAATCTAATCTGATGGCGCTTTATGGTTTATTCCACATCATATCTGACAGACAATGCCGTGCGAATCTAACAGGAGTAGTCAAGTCCATATAATAATTGCTCATTTTCAAGTCGAATGTGAAGATTATTCCCTCAGTCGTCAAAAGCAATGTGGCTTCACTACTCCAGTCCGAGGGCGGAGACCGGCTATCGTCAGTGCATACTACTTCCGAGACGAGATTGAGTGGAGAACAAGAAAATTTCCTATCTGAACAAGAACGTATCGCTAGCCATTATATAGGTCTAGATTTCTCATATGCGGCCCATTTAGACCCAAAAAGCAGGAGACAATCGAAGTCAATCCTCTCATGAAATTATCGAGTCGTTGCAGACGGTACACTAGTGGGCGGCATGAGTGATGGCTCTCCTCTTCCCCGAAAACTCCTTACCTGACTAATGAAATGGAACTTCGAGACTATGCGCGATCAGAATATTGGCTGGCTAAAAAGTCTTCGAGAAGGACACGCAGCTGGGATTTTGCAGAAGCCATGATATGTGCATTTTTCTGACTTGGATGGAAAGGATATATATATGGCTCAGGCGGGTCTAGAAGTATATACACTGCGTCAGCTGGAGTAAGCAGCCAACGTGTCAGCAGTACAAGTGTTTATCCCAAGCGATCACGACTTTCATCTAATTACGGATACTCGTGCCCACTCTACAATCCTTGATTGTCTGCCCAATTGATTAGAATGGCTTCAAATTCCTTCAATTGTCAGAGCTTAGGGCTGGCCTCGAGTGAGCTAACCCGAAGTGGAAAACCTTTGGCATGAGCCTTGGTGCCTGACAGATTCACTTGGAGTCGTCGAAAACCATCCCAAGTCAACACCAACACTCCTTCAACTTCGTCCATGATTCATCACCATCCCTTACAGAATTGATCAGCTTTTGATTTAGGTGACTTGCTTATTGGTCAATTGCAAGTGGCTTGAGAGATTATCTAAACCGTTTGCTCTAGCCAACAGCTACGCCGACATGGCCATTCACGAGTCACCCTGTCCGCCTCGGCTACATCTCCTCTTCTCCAAAGTCAAAGCCTGGCCTAGCGAATTAGGGAGTTTTCATTAATATCGAGTACTAGGGCCGTCAATCATGCTAGCGAACTCCGCATTTTGTCGGATTTCTCCACATCCATTATTCCCCAGTTTCTCCCTGTTGGCGAATAACATCCTATTCCATTGGACGTATCTCATGTCCTTGGCAGCTGCACCTTTCCTTTCCGATGTATCCGAATGACGCCTCTCTGCATGGCCAGGCGCAGTCAGAGTTGCTGTTCCTTGATTAGCAGCTTGCCCGGGGCCGCAAAAAACAGCTATAAAAGTGGTAGCTGCCTGGTTCCCCTTGTCATCTTCCTGGGTACGAGATCTTGACCCAAGCCAAGATGCAGCTGAAATCTTTGGCTGTTCGACTGCTTTTTTGCTCGCTGGTATCTGCAGCACCTTCGCATCCCAATAATGCGTGCAAAGCTCCAGGGGGTCCCCCTCAGATCGATTCTCTGAGTACTTTGCAAACGTTGAAGTACAATAATCTGGGCTCTGAAAACAACGGTACGGCTGCGGTTCTGATTTATGGTCGAGTGAGCTACGGTCAGGCGCAGGTGCAGTGTGCTGCCATCGGGGAAAGCCTGTATTCACTGCAGGATGCGACCGAAACAAACCGGACCGAACTTCAATATCAGTTCAACTATCTCCTTCATAATGGCGATCTCCAGAGGAGCGACCAGATATGGGTTGCAAAATCATCCTCAAAGGACTGCTCCGCCTATTCTCTCAGCCGCAAGGAGACTGTGGTCATCCCTTGCCATATGCAGCTGCCCGCACTTTGTACGTCCAAGGTCCCTCCCACAACAGACACGAACAAAGCTGTTGTCGAGTCATCTAAAATCTCGGCAATGCATCAAGATTACACTTTCACTGGATATCGCGACGCACGTTCATTCCGATTCCTGGGTGTTCCTTTTGCCAACCCACCTGTCAAAGACCTGAGATTTGCACCGCCTCAGCCGTACAGTGGTCCCAAGAAGCTTGATGCTACCAAATTCTCCGACTCTTGCGTCCAGTCAGTCTCCGGCGTTGGTACCCTGGGCAACGGTGGCATCTCCGAGGACTGTTTGTATCTCAACATCTACACCCCTGTGCTTCCTGCGCATGGGGCCTACAACTCCCTGCGCAAACCAGTGGCCGTGTACTTCTACGGAGGTGCGTTTACCAAAGGTAGTGCGTCCATGATCGACTACGACGGGGGCAACTTTGCAAGCCGCAACGACGTTGTTGTTGTGACGGTCAACTACCGCCTTGGCGCCCTGGGCTGGCTGGCGACTGGCAGTCTCACTACGGGAAGCTATGGCATCCGCGACCAGATCCTCGCCCTTGAATGGATTAACGAGTACATTGAAGCGTTCGGTGGTGACAAGTCACGAATTACGATCTTTGGTCAGTCAGCAGGTGGCCAGAGTGTGACAGCCTTGCTATCGTCCAGCGCGGCCAAAGGTTTATTCTCCGGTGCGATCGTTCAGTCGGCTCCGCTGGATCTGCCATGGTTTACCCGCGAGGTATATGAAGAAGTTGTCATGCCGGGGGTCGCCAAGGCTGTCGGCTGCGGACAGGACAACCAAACCGTCTCCGAAGAGAAGCTGCTGTCCTGTCTGCGCGCGGTGCCCGCATCGTCCTTCCTTGACAATACGACCGAGTTCCAGTCCGCCATGACGGCCGTGAACAAGAAAGTCGCCGACGGTTTCCTCCACGTGTCGACAATGCTCGCCTCCATTGAGCCCCTGATGCCCATGGTCGATGACTCGGGAAGCGGCGTGATCGACGACCAGTTCTACACCCTGCTTGCCGACAACACTCTTCCCAACCGTGTCCCAACCATGTTCACCACCGTCACCGACGAAGCCGCCCTCTACGTGGGCAGATCCGTCCCACAAATCGAGGCAACCACCACAAACCTCAACCTCCTCTTCGGCATCGCATACCCCACCGACCTAGCCAAGTCCCTCGCTGCCTCCAACGCCTTCCCGCTCAACCCCTCCGACCCAGACACAGTCCGCAACGTCGGCGCCCAGGCCCTGACCTACAGCGAATGGACCTGCCCGCAAGCCCACCTTCTCGCCAACAGCGGCGCCACCGCCTTTCCCGCCCTCTACGAGGTCGAAATCACCCACGGCCACATCCAAACCAACGCCGGCGTCCCGGCCGTCTGCTCCCCAAACACCGACTACAACGCCACCTGCCACTCCGCCGACGTCCTCCCCGTCTGGGGCACCCTCAACAGCAAGTCCCGCAACGTAGACCCATACTACGACACCACGGATCTCCTCCACTCGCAGCTCCTCGACGACGTCTTCGGCGCCTTCTTCCGAACCCGCAACCCAAACCCAGACCCGGAGATGCTCCGCGTGCGTGGGCCCGCCTACGCCGCGACGTACGAGATCTTCGGAAAGAACGGGTACTGTGTTCCTCCGTATCACCCAGAGCAGCGCAACGTCAGCCTGCTCGACATGCCGCCTACCTGGACGCAGAACCCCCAGGGCACGGACAAGTGCAAGGTGTTTGAGGAGTATGGGTTTACTTTCCAGCGGGCGTCCCTTGCTTGAGATTGAGAAAGGTGTACATACATAACTTGCAATTGACTGGTTCTGTAATAGACCGGCTCCAGTCTACGGATATACCTACGCAATAGAACTAGTGGTAATGAAGAGGAACAGTAATGGTAAACTGATCAGCACCTCTAACCATAATATAACCAGGCTAACCTCTAACCTCGTAACATCGTCTCTCATAAGGGTGTCTAATCCTCCGCCCTCATCCCAATTACACCGGTAATGATATAAACTATGCAAGAAACGAGAGCCACGAGATCGATCTGATTCCGTAGGATATGCGTATGCACATAAGACAACATCCAGACGCCGTTCTCCGCCATGATAGCAAACCATAACTGATAAAGATAAAACGAAATAAAAAGAGAGACATTGCATCGTTACTCATTACGTCATGACTAGTTACACGCCAGCGCGATTATCGCTCGTACATGGCAGATCTCCGCCCCGACGGGGACGGGTAGTCCACGTCTACCATGGGGACGGGCACGCAGTGCTTCCTGCTCTGCGGCGGACTAGCCCAGCCCGGGACCCGGGATGATCGTCCCGCATAGGAGCGGGTGCGCTCGACGCCCGCGGCGTGGGCGCCTGACGGGCCGTTTGAAGTGGGGTCGCGGTAGCTGTGTCGGCGGCCGTCGTCCATGACGTAGGAGTCCATGGGACGGGCGTGGTGCGGATGCGAGACATAGTTCTCGCTGATCCCGTTCATGTAGCGGGGGTGGACGTGGGTGTAGAGGGGTACTTCCTGCGAGGGCGTGACGGGGGTTTGCTCGTGGAAGATGTGTTCGCGGAACCGGACGCTCGCGGACCGGCTGGGGGGTGGTTCTTCGTTGTACGCTCTTGACTGGCGGGGTTTCCGCGCGCCGTCGGAGTCGTACAGCCGGCCCATGTGTGCGGTATGGGCATCACGGTGGGTATGTCGCCGTGGGGAGTCTGGGGATACGTCTTCTTCGGGTCTGCGGGCGTACGGTTCGTGCGAGTGGCGTCGAGCGTGGGAGGAGCGGGGCGGTGATAGGTTCCGCGAATGGCTGTGTCGTCCTGATCTCGGCGGTTGTCCGTGCGTTGGGGATCCTGAGTCTTCGGACGAGGCGTCCGAGGTGTCTTGGCCATGGCGGGGTTCTGTGCTTGTTGGATAGACGAAGGAGTGCGGTCGATCGCGGCCTCTCGATTTTGCGGCTTGTCTCGGTCGAAAGGGCGGCGATGGCGCTCGGGGAGATTCGAGTTCAGGCCCCTCCTCTGCACGGGGAAAATAGGTGGATTTGACTCTTCGAGCTGCGGACGTAGGGAGCTCGCCACTACGCTGTCTGTTATGGCGACTCCTTCGAGACGGATCCTCTGGCTCCGTGTGTCGACGGGACTGCGGTGTTGCAGGCCGGTGACTCGAAGTGTGGTCCTCTTGCTCAGGGGATGCATCCTTGTGGCTGAATTGCCAGTGATATGTGCGGAAGTTGGGCGGAGAGGATCGCAAGACATTCTTTCGCCAGTAGTCGAATTCAAAACGGCGGCTCACTCCCTCATGCCAATCCACCATTTCCGGGTCTGGTTCCGATGGGAAAGAATCTCGGGGGATCGTTCTTGGGAAAGTTCCTCCATTGGGGTTCTCAATGTCCCACAGTGCAACGGCATTTTGCAAATAGCGTACATGTTCGTCAGGATCCAGGAGCAGCTGGATTGTCTGCCATCTCACAAAGCCGTTGGGTTGCAATGCTGGAATGGACGGCGGTTTAAAGGGATCATTCGTGGGCTGAATGCTGTGGAAACACCCGAGACGCTGATATATGAATGACAGGGCTGAGGACTTTGTCTCTAGGAAGAGGATGTCATAGTTGCCGCCGACTTTGCGATAAAAGGCGGCCATTCGATCCGGGGTGAGGTCGGCGGTAGCGTATTCGTCAAAGGTGGTCTGGAAGACATTAGCCACCTGCATGATATGAACGAGGCAGTAACATCAGATTGACCATCAACTGTGCAATAGCCAGACATAGCTGTTCGAGTAACGGGGCAGGACTCTTGTCGGGGTTGATCAACACTCCCCAGAAATTGGCGCCCGCATCTGCTTGTGCGGAGGACATGACCGGGCGGAGTTGATGGCCACGGCAAGAAGGTGACGTGCATCTGAACGCAGCGACGGATTTCGTTCCTCAATGGTCCAGACTTAGATGGAAGGGGGTATATGAGATGGAGCAGAGCTCGAGAGAACAAGCGTCAAGACAGAGGGACCGCAGTAGGTGCGCAGATAGATAGATAGATAGATAGGCAACAGGAGCGGTCAGGCACCTCTACTCCGCTCCACTGCGGGGTGGCCCAAGTAGACTGGTAGTGGGTTGGATATGGGTTTGTGGATTGGGTAAACCAGTCTAGGCCCAAGGCCCCAAGGAGATTTCGTTTGCTGGCAAGAAGCCAACTCAATCCGCCTCATCTGCAATTAGACGCGGAAACTCACCGATGATTGATCGACGGCGAAGATGGAAGATGGAACGCTGCAACGGGGCAGGATCAATGATGCACAGCACTGTTTTGGTATTTTTCCGTGCCTTAGGAAGTCAGATTGTGGCCTGAACGCCTGACAACCTGACAGCCCCGCATGTGACATGACACCACTGCAGGCAGAGGGTGTAGCATTGCATCAACACTCACTGGAGTCAGCTTCAAATATTGATTTAATTGTTGAAGACTACCTATCCAGGTATATCCAGGTACCTCTCATTATTGACCACTGATAGAGCGCTGATGGGTCGGTTCTCGCTGATGGACCATGGTCTGGCCGTTCCACTATTATCTGCTCCACTGCATATAATCAGTTAATAGTTAACAAAGGCAGTGCTAGGGGCGATCGGCGGATTAGGGCTGAATGATAAAGCAGTTTGCCAACACTGATTATTCTGCAGGTACTCGATACTGATGTCTTGATGGTCTGCATATCTGCAAGTACTTCCACCATCTGCAGTTTCGCTCCAGATGCATGTTTTTCAGTCTTCAAACTACCGACCTTTATCTCCCACTAAGAAGTTCAGGATAAAGAGACACCGTGCTACTTCCCATCCTGTTAAAAAAATTGAAGCCAATCAGCTAATGGACACCTACTTATTTGTCATGCTACTGAATTGTTACCAGGAGCAAACTTCATCTGCCTATCCTCATGCATCCTCAGTCTTTTCGAGAATCAGCCAAGGTTGCAGGCTCCCCAGCACCGAACTATGTGGCTTTGACGAGGCGCATCTTGGACCTGGCACGACAATCTGCGGCGTTCGTACATCATCTCTTCATAGATCATGACCTCTAGACTTTGTAACTGAAGACTGTGTCTTTATAGCTTTCCTCAGCTTATTGATTCCATGCTCTCGAGGAACTGCGTTTGCGGCCAGATTCAAAAGCCTGTACGACAAGGCGAAAGTTAAAAGCATGCAACCGAAAGACAATCGTATGATAACTCAATTTATCTAATATTAGATGACATGCGAATTTTACCTTCCATGATTCTTTGCGGTTGCCCAAGTACCTTAGGTGGATTTGTCAAGGAAGAGGGACCTTTAAAACGCAAACGAAAGATTGTTTATAATTGGTGAGGGTCGATAGCACTGCCATAAGGTGGACGCTAATTGGCCGGAAGTTGAGTAGTGTCTCCCCTTATAACGCGGATTGAGACCATTCCTCAGCCATCTTCTGCCTCTTGTGCCATTCCAACGGAGCCCACTGGAATGCCAGATCCAGCACAGTGAATGGATGCATACTTTGTAATGCCCGGCCAAACTTGGAATGGCATATTTTGATGAGATTCCTTGCAACTGCCTTTGTTTTGTGTTTTGCTTTTCCTCTTATTGTCCCGTCTTGGATCAACCTTTTGTTTTCGTCGTCGGTTTGGTCTGATTGTCCCTGCCATCACCCTACACTTCTTCAATATTTCATCTTGACCACTGCGCTCGAGACTTTTGGTTCCAGTCGACGGGGCACTGGTTCACCCTCACCCCGTCGCGACTTGTCACAGCTTCGCCAGCCCGAAGGATTGAGTCCCATAGACAACGTTTGCCGAGGTTGTCGAATCTCAATGTCCAACCCGCACCAAGCATCTCGAATAATGGCGCTTGTGAGGGATCCGTTGTTCTGGAAGCGCTTTTCACGCGCGGTTCATCTGGATGAGGAAGCAAAAGCTGCAGCTCAAAACAAAGGCCCGGTCCACTCGTACGTACTTTCGCATCATGTCTGTTGGTTTACGCGGAAGGGTCACATAGCACTAACGAACCAAAGGGACAACTGGATCCAAGCACAGTACCGAAAGAAACGACGATCGATAGTATGTGGCTTTGTCATCTTCTTGGTCATTACGAGTCTCGTGGCCGGTATTATTGTGGTCCTCCTGTGGCTCCATGCGCACCACTGGTTACAAGACAATCGCGATAGGGGATCGAGAGGATGAGTGGTGCCAGGTCAATGTGCAGTCTCCAGCCTGAAGAATAATGCTCCACGGCCACCAACTCATCGATTGCAATCATATCGAATGATCGCAACAACTCCACCGGACCGCAAACTTGACGCATATCGCCCTGAGCGAAAGATCGAGTACATGCCAAGGTGGAAAGGGGCAGATAGTCCCATTGCAATCTTGAATCTGACTGAATGAGCCGGTCTCGTGTACCATGCCTTGTATGGGGCCAAGGTGCTCTATGCAGTGCGAATATCCGAGATACACAAAATCATGTCAGTCTTGGTATTCTGGAGTTGGAATATTTGAATCTCCAATATGTGAACAAACAGTGTTTGTCATACATATGAGCTTGTATTTAAGTGTCAATGAAAATAAATATCACAGCTTCTGTCTTACCCATTTGATTGCCCGCAAAGTCGGATAAAGCACGTATTTATGCCTGATAGGAAAGGCGAGGAGTCTCAGCCAGCAGTTCCGGTGACTCAAGTGACTCAACCTCGTCTCTCGGAAACTTCAGGGAATCTGCTGTATGCTTAGGAGTAACCTTATCTACACTCCTAGCTTTCGGTGACTTCTGATAAGCGAGAGATAGCTTATAGATTCGTCGCGGTCTTTTGGGCCGCTGGTTGACCCAAATTCCGCATGGACTTTCCTGATTGGGCCAGACACTCGGTTGTCGGCACTTGCTAAAAGTCACGTGCCCTGTAATTCTACTCATCGCGTCGCCATCCTTTTCAACAAATCGCCAACATAACAAGAATCAAACTCAAATTTGCTAACAAGATACAATGAAGGACTTTGCAATTGTTTCAGCAAGCTCATCATCGTGGTAAGGAATCGTCCCCTGCTCTGGTTGTAGATATCCTGGACCGCGGACGGCCCGAGCTTGGACAACGCGCTTATCTGCGGGCCTTATCGCCCTTCTCCGCATTAGTGTCTATGCTTTCCCCGCAATAAATAGCAAGGGCCAGCCCCTGCGCCATTTATCTATATTCATATTCTCCCTTCTTGCGCTTCGAGGCAGTGTTTCTTCATCAACCTCGGTGCGATTGAGATCTTCATTATGCTACCACCATTTGACTACTTCACCTACCGCCGGGTCCGGTAAGTTCATGCACAACATCACCAACAATACAGCACACTAACTACTTATCAGGGACCAGAAGCAAAAGGAACGGGCCACCCGTTTCGCTTCCCTCTCCCCAGACTACCACACTGCGTTCACGGCGACGGATAAGAGTATTATTGACAAGCCAATTGAAGAGCTGGTTGAGGCTGTCCACAACTCCTCCCTTTCGCCGGCAGATGTCCTCCGTACGTACGGCAAGGTGGCAGTGAAGGCCCAAGAACGCACAAACTGCGTGACTGAGCTGCTGCTGCCCGAAGCGGAGACATGGGTTCAGACAGAAGTCAATCTCAAAGGTCCACTGGCCGGGATACCCGTCTCCCTCAAGGATTCGGTGCAGGTCAAGGGCTTTGACACTTCTGTTGGGTATGCGCGGATGGCTGGGAAGCCTTGTGCCGAGGATGGGCCCATGGTGAAGTTGTTGAAGGATGCTGGTATGGTTGCAAACCTTTTCTTTTGAGTTACCGATCCTGACGTGATACAGGTGCTGTCCCGTATGCCAAGACTGCACTGCCAGTGACGCTTCTATCGTTTGAGTCTTTCAATGGTCTTTGGGGCCGGTGTTTGAACCCACATGTTCCTGAGTACTCACCGGGTGGTTCAACCGGAGGCGAGGGTGCTCTGCTTGCCCTTGGTGGTCGTATCGGTATTGGGTCTGATGTTGCTGGATCGGTGCGAGTTCCTGCGGCCTGGAGCGGTATCTACTCCTTACGGTGCAGTACAGGCCGCTGGCCCAAGGCAGGTGTCAGCACCAGCATGGCGGGCCAGGAAGGAGTGGCCAGTGTCTTTAGCCCAATGGCTAGGACATTGAACGATCTCACCTACTTTACACGAGCGATCATCGGCATGCAGCCATGGAAGTATGACAATACTGTCCATCCCATCGCTTGGCGGGACGCAGAGGAGAAGGAAGCACAGACAAAACAGCTGCGCATCGGACTGATGTCTTCAGATGGTATGTTCCGCCTCACGCAAACTTAGACAAAGCTAACTGTCCCCAGGAGTCGTCCCCCCCACGCCCGCCATCAACCGCGCCATCGCTACCACCGTCGCTGCACTCACAGCAGCCGGCCACACAGTCTCTGAGATCACACCCCCGGCATCCGCCGAACCCTTCACCGGCCTAACGCTTGCCTCTCAACTCCTCAACGCCGACGGCTGCACCACCTTCAACTCCCACCGCTACAGCTTCGAACCTTCAGACCCGGGCGCTGAACAACTGACCCGCATCGCTAAACTGCCCCGTCCCCTCCGCTACCTCTACTACCTCTACGTCCGCTACATCAAGCGCGACACCAAATGGGCCGCGCTGATCCGCAGCTTTGAACACAAATCCGCAGCCGAGCAGTGGAAGCTGGTCGCCCGCCGCGAGGCCTTCCGCGCCACCTGGCACGCCTGGTGGGACGCCCAGCCCCAGCAATACGACTTCATCCTGTGCCCCGTCAACGCCACGCCTGCTCTCCCGCACAAGGCTATGCACGACGCTGTCTCCTCCTGCGGCTATACCTTCCTGTGGAACCTGCTCGATTACTCCGCCGGTGTATTGCCGGTTTCCCACGTCGACGCGAAGAAGGATGCGCTCCGCGCCCCGTACAAAACCGTTCTAAAGCAGCTTGGCGCCAATCATGCCATTGCCCGCGGGGCGTGGAAGCACTACGACGCGGCTAAGATGGCGGGTCTTCCGACTGCGGTGCAGGTTGTTGGAAGGCGGTGGCAGGAAGAGAAGGTTCTGGGCTATATGGCTGCTATTGAGAAGGCGTTGGAGGGGTATTATGATGCGGTAACTGGAGAGGGGGGAAAGTACCAGCTGCTTGAGATTGATTGATTGCGGAATTCTGGTGTAGCTGCGTATATCCAATTGTGCTCTAATATAACTATAGGCATTCGTGTTCTGGGTTTACTGGCGGACTCTTTTCTGCTTGATGGCAACTGTAAAGAAGACTAGTATGGGATAACAAGTATTATTCTCCATCTGATGAGTCCATGTGCAGACATTGTAGAGATAATAGTTGTAGTGAATGAAATGATAGAAGGCGTAGGTTTCTCTCACCAGAATATGCCTATCTCAGACGGAGTGAATTATGCTCCTGTTCAATCCTCGTATAGACACTTGACGAGTGAATATCCATCTCAATTCCCTGTTTCTTGCCTTCTCTGTCTTACAGGCAACATGAATTATTCACTAGTCTTACCTTCCCTCTGAACTGGAATCTCTCAGAGTCTGGAGACCATGATACCCTCAACCACCAGGCTGCCCATTGTCCATGTAAATATCAGCAATCTATCTTCTACATCTTTATGGGATGCATCAAAGACTGTGGGTATAAACGTACTCCGGTTTACTCTGATATTCAGAATGATCAAAATGGCTACCGTTCTACACAACGCCGATCAAGTATGGTACAATCGATGCCTGAATCGATAGGTTTCCTCCGGGCTACCGAGAGTCACAGAGACGCCAATGAGATCAAACAACTCCTCAGGGAGATCAAAGACTGGATACGTACATGCACAGACCACGGCACACAAATGAGGATTGTTTGCAACTTCACTCCTTCGTACGCACCTTGCTCCCATTGCAAGCGAAGAAAACAACTAACTACGAACAGATGGTTCTTGGTCACGATGGGCACAGGCATAATATCAATCTTTTAAATACTAAAATGGCTACCGTTCTACATAACGCCGATCAAGTATGGTACAATCGATGCCTGAATCGATAGGTTTCCTCCGTGCTACCGTCCGAAGACGGGTTCCAATTCTAGCGTGCATCGGCACGTGGATTGCAGCAATCGGTTTCCTATCCACGCTGGCTGAGAGAATCTACAGGACGATAAAGAAAGAGCAACGAGCAGAGGAACGGCCTGTCCGAACTTGTCCGACCCCTTACAGGTAAGGCTACGCGGCTCCACCGAGAATGGCAGCTAATCGATCTATCTTATAGACAGAGTTGAAGTTCGCCGGAAAACTGACACGGTCATTTATCCGGGTCCCGGAGTCAAGGGTACTTCCTGACGACTGCCAGTTGGATGATAGGCTATGGCCGGGCCTAAATTGGTTGAATCTGTGGCACTGGCCATGTTGTAGGAAGACCCAGGACCTGGGGAATGGTCCCTGTTTTAAGGATTTGGTCAGTGATAGTCTGGTGTTGCAAAGAAACAACGCACCCTTGCAAAAGCCAAGGCAGTCCTTCTCAGGAAAATCAGATAGGGCTAGAGGAGAGCAGACGCAACAGCTCCTTCGGGACATCCTTGATGAGCTCGGAGCTAGTCGACGACATTGCGAAGGATGTAGCCAACCCACCTCACACTCTCGATCTGATTACGGTTCTCACCCCGTATTGCAGTCAGATGCACCTCTATTTGAACAGCTTCTGCTCCAACCACCGGCTCCAAGGCGTGCGTATCCACACTGTTGATAGCTTCCAAGGATGTGGATCGCTAGTGGTAGTTTTTGATACCACGTCCATGTCCCGCCTCCAGTTCTTAGCCGATCCTAATCGGCTCACTGCGGGCCTCAGCTGTGCGCGGGCAGGGCTGTACATCATGGAGGCTGTGCAACTTAAACGACCCGGTACTAAAGATCCTGGAGAACTGCGCAAGATCTCTTCGACCGGCCATGTTCTGCGTCATCTTTGCAAAGGCAGGGACCGCACTCCGATACCTGATTCCTGGCAGCCTGTGATCCATGGAGTCCTAGATGGTCAGCTTATAACCAAGCATGTCAATACTGGTGACCCCATGACATCTGCAGATGTGGGAGACCCTGTGAATATGACCACTAATGTCATGGAAGACACTGCTGGTGGTTCAGACACAGCAGATTATGCTCCGATCTCGAACCAGTCTCTGAATGCCCCTTCTGCTGCTGACGATAGATAGGCAGTTCAGGAACACTCTGGGCCTCTGCCGACTTCCTGTCATCTGCTAGTTATGAAGGCAAGCCTATGGAGATTTTCGATAGATCTCATGAAACCACGATGGAGACACGCCTGGAAGTATGGTCTCTCGGGAAAGAAACCCTCAAGATCACAGGTAATGCGGATTACTCTTTTCTGATACGATGGTCCAAACACAAATGAACCAGATGAAAGCATGACAATAGAGCGGTTTATGGAAATCCTAAATAGGAAGCAAACCAACTGGTTTGACAAAATCGATACGAACATGCCTCGCTCGCTCGCATCTGGTTCAACCTCCAATCTTGAATTCAATATCCTCTCCGCAAGAAGGCCTCAGTTTAGGTCCAAACATACTGCCACGACAGTCCAAGCTGCCTGATATTGCCCCGTGGATGTTTCAGAGGTCGATATCCGCAGGCAGCATGGTCAAAGTAATGCCGGGTCGGGATCATGAGGACACTAGGCGACTCTCGTGGGATGGTCAATGACAAGACGGGCCGCTATGCAGGTTAAGCGCAGGTAAGATCCTACTTGTACTGAGGAAACTCTTGTTACTGATGCATATGATGAAGAGACTATGCATTGTCAGCTTGGCAAAAGAACTGTGTTATGTATGGCCTCGCCAAGATAGTTGCTTTCATCCGAACTGATGTACTGATCAATGTACTACTTACAGATGGATCTCGTTAAGAAACGTCCTGGCGCCAAGCCCGGCCAGCTTGCTGGTCGTAAGCGGAAGTCTGATGCTGAGCTGTGGAAGAACCCCCTCACAAAGAAAGTCCGTGAGCGTCTTGATGCTATGTCACCAACACAGTGGTTCTACCCTTCGCACTGTGCATATGGACTTACATCCACCACATCCAGAATAATGCTATCCTATATTCTCATCCCATAGACTGTCTGAAGAAAGCATACTTTGTCGATATTACGATCCCGGATGGACGGGTGGTGGACACCTCAGTGGTACCGTGTCCCCTCCTTGGTGATCAAATATCTCCAAACTACAAATTCCAGAACATTGGTCATTCTTAACTTTCACATACTTCATCTACCCGTGGCACTCACTGCAGTCACAGCAAGACAAGCGCCATCGCCAACAGAGTCCCTGGACTTTGGGATTTCGGACTGAATTGAAGATCATGTTGAACAAGTCGAGTACCCGACGACGTTTCACAGTTCAAAAACTGGGAAGCAGCGCGCCACGCTTCCTTCAATTCTGATATCCTCTTCAATAAGCTCATTGAAGCAAGGATCCTGGTTAGGAGTTTATGATCTAAATGGCGTTGAACTAGGATATAAGAAAGGGGATGGAGTACATAATGTACAATAAGAACACGAGGTCTTATGGACTATCTCTAGAGCAATAACATCATGTAAATATTGCTTCTGGGACATGTTCATCATTCATCTCATATATAAGCTTAGCTATACCCATATCTCCGCATTTAATTGATCCATTGGCCTCGACCGCAACGGTGCCGCGAAATCCCCAGCCATCATCGCACATCGTTTTCGCCTCCTTCTCGGAGATCCTGCACTCCTCCCATCAGGAGGCCGCGCTTGGCTGGGTGCATGACCACGAACCGATCTGTCTCTTTCAGTGGCTCCAGTGACAAAGGAGACATTCAAGCGGGTGGCATTGGCCGTTTGAAGGTCGAGTTTTAGGAGAGATTTTGCGAGTGCCTGGAGATAGGACCAGTCATGGTTTGACGAAGCTGCGGGTGTAGATACAAGGCCCAAAACGGCAAGTGAAGAATAGCGAATATGATCATGACAAGGATATACATAAATGGGACTTCAGGATGAGTCCATCGACTGTGACAATTTTCTTGATGATGATCTGCCCTATGAATTACTCTTAGCGACGGCTCCAGTCATGCTGTGCTGGACTTATATCGCATGTCAGCCATAGATCGTATCTTGTCCATGAATAGCAGGCAACCTCGTTTATCGCTTCTGATCGATCGGAATTCCACATTTGAGATCGGACGGTATCGATCTTGTTGGAAATTGCTTGGCCAGTCAACTCTTTGTCCGACATTGGATATTAAGGTTGGTTCTCGGTACTGTGAAGTCTGTGATCGTGGTGGCTTTCGCCGAGTACCACCGTCTCAGGAATGCTGAGAAATGGGGTTAAAGCAGCTTTAGGGGGGTTTTCCGTGTAACGACTCACTCTTGAGCAAGTGTTGCGTCGCGATTGATTTGGCAGTCGAGGCAACCGAGAATCGAGAGATCGCCGTTCCATCCCCTGAGGAATCTAGACCAGGTCCAACGACTTCTGTCAAGCTTCTCTCAACTCTCTGGCAAGCCACGACGACCACGATTTCATCGCCACTTGCACATTCTGAAAGAAAGTCTCTTTTCAAAACCACGGATCGTCCGCATCTAGTCGAAATCAATCAGCCACAAACCTGCATTCCGCCTTTCCATCCCCACGAATTCTCAACGAAAGTGCCCCCGTTTCCAGACTCGGGGATAACGGATAATCGCCGGTCACAGTCACGGTCACGGGGTTCCGCAGAAAGAACGGGCAGAGATGGCGCCTATGAACTATCATCTCGATTTCTCCGTTTTCGACTTGGAACTTTAATTCTCCTATCCTCTTCATAACATTTGCGTCCCCCTATTTTGAGCACGTTAATCGCCAACGTCTCGGCTGACTACAATAGTCGATCGCATCGCCGCCCCTATCCATCATATCCCGCTGCCGACTTTCCCCCTTATAATCGCAGATAGTTGCGCGATCGGCGCTGCCACCCTCGCTCCTTTTATCTACAAGCGAAAAGCCCGTGGAATCTGGACCTTGTTCGCAATCAAAGCCGCAGGATGCGGTCATTGCCATCCGCGCTGCAATATCATCACGACCGTAACGCTCGACGGGTGATGGGACTCGGTGGTGACGATGCCTTTAAGTAAAGGTGCTGCTAAAGGGCGCCCAAAGGAGTCAATCCACTTCGTCAATGCCCGTCCTACTTCGGAAAATGAGAAGCTGAGGATACAGCGCCTGGTGAGGGCTCATGTGGGAAAATGGATTTCCGACCAAACCAAGGACCGTTCGTCAGCAGGAGAATCTTCGGACTCGAATTCGAATCGCGACGAGCCCCGCGATCCAGCGTCGCAGATTCTTGAAATCGATACTGAAGAAACATTATTCCCTTCATCCTCCTCGCCGTCTGCCGGGTCGTCGCGCGAGTCCCCCGAGTCTACCACCTCTCGCAGCCTGTCCCTCTCCATCCGGTCCGCCTCTCATGTCCCGCTTCTACCGATAGCTTCCTCTCACACCCACGAACCGCTGGAGGACGATGTTGATGGCCTTTGCGAGTACAAACCGTGTCAATTGGTGGTGAATGCTGCGAATCGAGAAAGTACTTGTTCTCGGGGCCAAGGGAATGGCTCTCTGGCTGGCTACACCATCAAGGGCATGGGCAGTAACGTGTTCGATCCTTTTCACACCTACCCGTCGCATTATAGCCCCGAAGCCATTCATGCGTGTGAAAGATACTGTTAGTACCCTTGATATATCCTTGAACTCGGAATGCTGACGATTTTGCAGGCATAGACGTGCTCTGGCCCGAGCTAACTCCCCCAACCCCCGGCGACCGCGACGTCTCTGCCACTAAAAGCTGGCTTCCCCTTTCATTGTCCGATCCTGTTCTGTTCACTGCCATTTTGTTTGGGTCGCTATCACACCAACGTTGTCGATGGATCAACAGGCAGATTCCGGCCGGGGCATTTAGCCCTCACGATCAGCGACTCCTCCAGCAGTGTGAATATGAAACTATCAAGCTGGCCAACAAGGCTTTGAGTGATCCGGATCACAATCGCATTATTAGCGATTCCATCATACTAAGTGTCATTTGCATGGCTCACAATATTGCTGATGACAACGATCGCCGACGGCATCGAAACGTCCCATTCACACCACCCTTGACGCAGCTACAATGGCTCGACGTCTACGCAAGCTTGCCACCAAATCTCGTCCACTTGCGGGGCTTGGTCGAGCTGATCAAATTACGGGGCGGCTTGAAAAATATCAAGCTGCCGGGGTTAGCCACTACCGTATCCTTGTAGGCGCATCTCCGTTTTACTTGATAGCGACTTTGAGCTAACTTGACATCAGTTCCGCGATCTTGACCGCAAGCTATCTGCTTTCGCAGCCTGTGTTCGAATACATACCGTTCCATGAGCCGCGACAGGGCCTTACATTACAAGAGTTACTAGGATATACCTCGCTTGAAGTGGAGCTCGGATTTGGTCGACTGCAACAAATCGGCTTCACCCTAGAGATGGCAGACGTCTTTCAAGCACTAAGAGTCTACACGAACATCGTCATCGAGCATATGCAGGCGTTCCAGCCAAACCCCGATCTTTCTCTCCTCTGTGACCAGCGCAATCTCGTCCAGTACCACCTCCTCAACCTCCCCTCTGCCCGCTCCCTCGCCAGCTGGTTCCCCACCCCACTTCATCAAACCGTCTACGAAGCCTGCCGTCTAGCCGCCCTCATCTACGCCGTCGGCGTCACCTTCCCGCTTCCATCCCAATGCTCGCCTCATCCCCGTCTTGCAAAGCTCCTCCAAGAAACCCTGCAGACCCCCGACGCACCCTCCCTCTGGACCCACCCGCAAGCCCAAGTCGTCCTCCTCTGGGTCCTAACCCTCGGCGGCATCGCGGCCGAGAACCGCCCAGAACGGGACTGGTTCGTACATACCCTGGGCCAAGCGGCGTCGCGTAATGGGATCTACTGCTGGTCTGAGCTGAAAGCCGTCCTGGAGTTCATGCTCTGGTACGACACTGCCTGTGACCGAGCGGGGTATACCCTGTGGCTTGACGTCGCGGGACGTTTGTGACGACGGGATATTGTCTCTATTCGGCGTTGTGTTTCGTGCGTTTGCGGTGGCGTTCGCGGTTTATATCTCTTGAATTTGAACAATTGGTCTACGGGTTTATGCAGTCGGATATGATTTACGATGGCCATGACTTTAAGCGCAGGGCTCAAGACAGACAGGATGTATTCCATAATGGACATAGGTATATACGCACCAATCTACACAAAATCGTAAAGCACATCATCGTCATCAGTAGCAGCAGCAGCCGGTAAAGCAAATATCCAAATATGCAAAAACGGGATAGGACGCATCACGGTCCGCTCGAAATGCCATACGACGACGCCTCCCCATGTGGCGGGCCACGATGCAGCAACGGTTCCCGCTCCCGCTCCCGCTCCAGCCCCCAATCCCTCGCCGCCACGCCAGCGTAATCCACCGCATCTGACCGACTCACCATCACGCTCTCCGTCCTGCCGGCGTCCACGCCCTTCCCAGCCATACCCTGAGCCCGAGAGGCATCCGTCCGCTTGGCCTGCCACCAGACGAACCCCACCAGCGCGGCTCCAATCACACCCGTCGACGCCGTAAGCACGAGATTCACCGGGATCGGATTGCGGCCGAAGAGCTTAAATGTCACCGCGTCGAGCCCCGCCTGGAGGAAATTGCCGAGTCCGGCCAGACAGATGATAAGCCCGTAGACCTTTCCGAAGGTCTGGAAGCCGAAGACCTTGGCTGCGTAGTCGGAGACGGCGGTGTAGTAGAATGGTCGGTAGATGACGAAGAGGGCGACGTTGGCGTAGCCGGCGGGGAGGCTGTGCGGGATGCAGCCTAGGATCCCGATGAGGGTGGCGGTGGAGGCGAGGATAAGGAGGACGTATGGGGTTGTCAGGGTGTCGAGGATGGTGCCGATGAAGGGGACGGAGAGGAGCCCGCCGAGGGGGAGGAGGACGTCGAAGGCGCTGTTTAGCTGTTTGGAAAGGGCTGGGGAGAGGAGGTAGTCGTATTGTGCGCGGATGGAGGCGACGAAGTAGTTGATGCGGAGCATCTGGAGGATTGTGAAGAGGGTGATGAGGACGAACCAGGGGGTGGTGATTTGTTGGAGAGCGGAGCGGCCGTGGAGAGCCCCCCAGACGTTGCCTGCGGTGGTGTTACGGGGTGGGGTTTTGCTGACGATGCGGTCTTGGGGCTCGTTCACCGGGGGAAGAGTTGTTCGAGAGAACTCGTCGAGACCTGGGACGTCACTGATGGCGCTGTCGCCTAGGAGATCTTGGATCTTGCTGACGACGTCTTGGCGGCGCTCGCGGCGGTCGTTGCGCTGACGCTCGCCTTCGGAGCGATTGCCGATGCGCTCGTCGACGCGGTCGTTGACTTCGTCGGCAATGTAGGCTTCTGCCTGTTGGACTAGCTCGCCGGCCGTTTTGTAGGATGTGGCCGGCATGATGAGAAGTTGCACGGCGAGGATGAAGGCGGGAACGATCAGATAAACCATGAAGAACTTGTGGGTGGTAAATGATCCATTGGTGCGCTCGTTGGCGAGTCGGAAGATTAAAAACAAGGCGCTGGACGCGTCAAATGCACCTGTGAGCATCGACAGGATCAACCCAGAGCGAGTAGGGAATGTGTTGGACAGCTGGAATGACGAGATAAAGATGAAGGGACCTCCGAGCGATAGAAAGAGGTATCCGGGAATGTATGCATCAAAGGGGAGACTGGCAGCGAAACTGAGTAGTAAGGCGCCGAAAGTCAGACATATGCTGCCAATGATACCACAGACACGAGGACCGTATGTATCAAGGACAGTGCCAACTGGCAAGGCGGATACATTGGTCGCCACGGCGGCGATTGTGAACATGAGATTCAGGCTGTTTCGCGTCAGCTTGGTCAAGAGACGGAGATCATGATGCCTACCGCAGCTCCTGTCCGTAACAGACTTCCCGGTTTTTAGAGAGCTCGTCGCGCGAACACAGATTGCGATAGACCCCTTCGCGGATCAAGACAGGTTTCAATGCCGCAAATCCGAACACAACTCCTGCTGCGAGGAAGCAATAGATGACCGCAATAATTACCTGGCCTAAAGTATCTCATTAGTAATTCCCGGATCGCGAACAAACAAGGTTCAACTGGCTTCATACAAATTCGTCGTGTACTACTGACTTCGAACGCTCCAATGGTTTGCAATGGATAGTTTTTATCCAGCAATTTTGAGGAGTCTTGCGCATCATATCCTCCATGGTCACTCTCGACCAGCGGTTTCGGCTGGATTTTCATCGTAGGAGTTTCATGACCCGAGATGAGCTCGTCATGGGCACCTTCATCGGGGGGCTGGGTCCAACCGGGCCCAGCATACGGATTGAAATTCAGACGATAACTGTACGTTGACTGGAAGGAGGACGCAATCGATTCCTCCGGGAGCTCGACATTGCGCCCGTCCACAGAGTCAGAATCGCCATCTTCTTGGCCCGGGTGCTGTTGCTGACGCGATGAAGCCCGAGTTTGGCCCCACGACTCAAGATAAGAGACTCGATTCAGAGACATGGCTACACATTGCAGATGAGAGGCTGAACAAAAGCAGAGGATAGGATTAAGATGACATACCTTTGCCCTTGATTAAATTGGCTGGTTTAATTTAATGCATTTGATGCACCACTGCAGAACTGTAACTTGATTATTGCCGGTCCAAAACTTGAAATGAGCTGCAGTGTAGATCTTGGAAGTTTGGAGAGCGAATCAAGGTGACATTGAGAATAGAGTTCCAAGCATTGGGGAGAGCTGACTTATATCTATATCGCTTCCAAGATTAAGGAAGGCTCTGAAAATATGAGAATGGACTATCGCGTGGATGACGACTTTACAGTGGGTAATTAGTACTTGGCAGCTTCTGCAGTACAGTTAAGCCAATAAGTACCTCTCTAGACTAAGGTTTCTTAAGGTACCCAGTGACGTCGGAGGTAAACAGGGCGTGGGTCACCTGATTCCGCCCTCTGTTCCCCCGCATGCTCAGCTCCGCCTGCATCTGCTTCTACCATGGATCGATATACCATCTTAGTCCATATTGGAGTGATGTCCAATAAGCACGGCACTAATCCATAGGTATCCTGAGAATATCCCGCCGGTCCGAACATATACTAAAGATTCCATTATTTAAACTCTTGATCAACAATGCATATGCTGTGCTTATTTACAAACGAGCTTAGCTAAGGTCCATGGGGAGGTTTCATACCCCATAGTCCTCAGACAGGCGGCTCATGCAATGCGTCTGGACTCTCCACAAAGTGCCCATCCCTTGTTTAGTTCTCTCAGAAAGATTCGGAAGCCTAGTCCCACTGGAGTTTTCCCATGACTTCGTAGAAGTTTCTTTGATCTTTGTGATCGTCCTACGACCGTCCAGCTGAACAAGAAGTAAGTCCTCAGGTGTCAAATACATGCACAGCAGATACAATGCTTCTCTATGCTAGGGCTGTCCTAGTAACTCCCGCGATGCTCAATGCTCGATGCTCCTCCCAAAGGTTCCATATTGCTCAGGGCGCTACCCAAGTGCTGTTGAGGTCAGGAACGGTCTGTTGACGGTCGATAGATAGACTGATATGCTGCTTGATCCGTGAGGACAGTGGAGGCGTCTCGCACGGCGAAGGGCTGGCACAGATGCTGACGGAGAGCAGCACGGTGAGAAGCTGTTAAGTGATCATGATCGCCGACTGAAAGATGCTTGGTGGTATTTAGTGCTTATTTTCCGATGCAGAACGAGAGAGCTTGATGATAGGATTCCTTCGAGATGATGCATTTGAACACCCTTTCAGGCTGACAGATCTAACAGCTTCCATACTTGCCCCTACTGTACCCACCGTCAGGGGCGATTTCGTCGCAGGATTGACAGAGAAGGGGGTTGGGATGCGGATATAGCCGACAATTGTGGTCAAATCAACCACATGCAGAATAGCCTTGCTTATAAATTTAGGTACCTCAGCGTGGATTCATTGGATGACAGTCCCGCCAATTGACCAAGAGCAGTAGTGATGGCGGCTCAAGCCGTAGGGAGCGAAACGGGACATATGGCTCTTCCTCCATTTCTGCTCTCTGGTCTCGACTCCACCCGCCACCTGGCAGAAGAGTAATATAACATATCCACTAGCCTCAGGTAAATCCCTGCAGGCTAGCTTGCACTGAATAATACGCTTCGATCTTACTATCAGTTGGGAGATTTTTGCAGAAATAGAAGATATGCGGGACGCCCAGCTCACGTCGGAGAAGCGCAGCGAGACCGACCCTGACTCTTCACGAGCGTCGAGGTGACAGACCAGACATAGCAACCTGGCGGCTGACCATAATCCTTCTCTGGTAAAGCTGAATAGCCGATGTTAGGAACCATGAATAGCATCTCCTCAACTTTCTTCCTGCCCTTTAGATTGATCACTTTCAACTCCCTGATGAGGGGTGATCATGCACCGGCTCCATTAAGATATCGTCTGGATAATGGATCGCCACCTTCCGTCAGCCAGGGAAGAGAGAAGCCATCATCGACGGAATAGTCCTTAAAGTTTATGCATTTGTGATGGGTAAGATCGAACCAGCGGATGAATGGTCAGCGTCGACGACGAAGCCGGTCAGAGTCAGGACTTTGACGGAGAGGCGGTTCAGTGTACGACCAATTGAAACCACTCACTCCGTCACTTGGGCCCTCTCAACTTCAATGGTAAAAACACATTCATTCTTCGAGCCTCGATCAGGGATATCTAGCGTTCATGTGCTACTGTACTGCCGCGCGAAAGTTTGGCCTACTTTTTAGTGGGCAATCTTTCCATGGCCAAAATCAGCCGCGCGAGAACACCGAATGCAGAATTGATCGACAATCGCGGTGAAGATCCTTATATTTTGGTGACCCCCATAGGACTGTAGAATTTCATACCATTTTTTTTAGTACAAGTGGAAGGGGACCATAAACAGCTGCCTAATCAGGAATAACCTGGCAGTCTTGCTTTCTGCAATGTAAGTGGTAGCGGCTAATCTGGCCTGTGAGGTCTCCAACAGCTTTTCGATGCGGGGACAGGGATGAAATGCTTGGTACTGCTTGGAAATGATTGCGAGGTTGCAAAACTTCTATGCTTGGGATGATGATGAAGTACAGCGCCAAGCCAAGGACCAAGGTCATATACTTTCCCATAGAAAAGTGGAATATCACGTGGGTATCATGTGAATTCATGTCTGTTTACAAGCCCCATTGCTGTTAGCAACTTAGCATCACCACGGCGTCAACATCACAACATGGTTATTCTCTTGCCTGGTAAGGCCACGGCTGAAGGTTTTGTCAATTTAACTAGCCATTCTAGTCTGGCTAGAAATGGAGCCTCGATTCGAAACATAAAACGTATTTATGAAACCAAAAAACGCACGGGACTCAGGCTACTCACTTCCTCCTTCCTCTCGCCCGGCCATCCGAGACATTAGTGGCGGAGAGCCTGTTTCGGAATCGTCACAGAGTCGGTTTGTACCTGACTCATCACCAAGTCACTTTTTCTCCCTGAGTTGAGTCGAAGAGCATTTAACAACAACTCGAGGATGGGATTAGTCTCCAGTCACGTGAGCTCTCGCCATAAAGATAGAGGTGCGTTTGTCAAGCCCATCACATGAAGAGCTCAATCATTCCTGACGTAGACCTGGTTTGCAGGGTTTAAGTCTGATGAGCATGTCAATCTCGCCGGCTATTGACGGATGAAATGAAGCTATGGGATAGTATGGCAGATTCTTGCCGAATAGAAGCTGGACTCGTTTCGTCGCAAAGGGCCGTTTACTCGTTTTAGCCTTAAGGTGTGCCCGTCCGGAACAATATGTCAGTCGTGAACCCCCACGACTAGCGGGGATGATGTACATCAGTAGAGTCCAGGTCAAAGGATATTTGGCACTAGGTTCTATTTCACGAAGATAGTGGGGCCGCTGATACTACCTCGATGGCAAACCAAGGTTCACTGTGGAGGAGTCAGGGATAATAAGTCTACTCGGCCGACCAAATGGGGGCCCCCTGAAGGTGAAGGATGGAGTAACCATACGGAGGCTCGGAAAGAGTGAATCATCACAAGTACCGAGACTTTGCTTCGCTTACTTTGAGCCTAATTGCACCGTTGGGGAGGATATGGGTCCTCCCTAATAATAGGCTTGCGAGGATTTTCTCGTTTCGGCAGTGATCAGAGGCGGTCATGTTAATCGCCATGCGCTTGTCGGAGAGAACGCCATCGGCTCTGCAGCGCTCCAATCCGACCTTGAAGCTTGAGTATGTCGCTATTCCGGTTGGAGAAGGAGTCCGCTGGCCGTTCTTCATGGACTTCATCACACACTACGTACTGCGATCCTGGAACGATGTGGTAGTGAAGTCACTTGGCCCAACAACATCCCTGTGTCTGCCTTTGCACCTTTTGCAGAAGTAGGTATGATTGATAGCCATGCTTCCTCGTTTCTTTAAATCAGCGTCACTCGCTAGGCCAAGGCCTTGTGTGCTGCAATTTTCCCTCTCATTCGGCGTTGACCCGCAAGAGTATCTTGGTCCGCTTGATCCGCTTTGCACAAACCAACAGACCACCCAGGCTTTATTCGACCATTCATCAGCATCATCACTTGTTGTCGCTAGGGTGGCCAGTCTCTAGCCGCATATTAGTGCTCTCTTCTTTCTTGCATCTTTTCTCTTGCTTCTCAACCTTCCTTTCTTTCCCACGGCCTTTCTCACCTTACAGATCGGTTCAGACACCGGTAGATGTTTTCATCTCATCCATGGCTGTTATAGTTGCCTGTCGATGACCATCCTGAGGACAACGTGATGAGGGGATGGTCAGTCAATGTTCCTTGTATCGTGCCTCTTGGTGTCTTTGCTTGACAGTCGCAATTTTTTTTTTCTTGGCCGTCGCTAACGTGTTGCGATGTCTCTTAAAGTCTCACTTGTCGCCAGCGCCATCTGAAATGTAAATATCACAATTACGCTTGAACTACACGACTAGTCTAAGAGGCCTGATCTAGATATCTGACAACGAACTTTAGGTGATAAAACTGGTACGGAATGTCTGCGTTGTCAGCGATCAGGGCGGAAGTGTATTCCAGCACCAACAAAACCGGAGGAGGTCACCTTCCGACACGGTCAGAACCCATCTCTGAGGCCAAAGGGTCCACCTCGCTATGGAGAGAGTGACTTGACTTTTCCTGACGACCAGGTTTGGGTCAAAACTCCCCCGGAAGGTACGTCGAACCCGAAGCTTTCATGATGCTCAGGTTTGAAACGAGGAATGGGCCTGCACTGACACGGATGGGGTGTCTTACAATCATTCAGTCGATTTTGAAGACGAGACCGACCGCACGGCTGCTGATTACCATGTTATTCCGGTCGAGACACCAACGTCCTTCCTGGAGGCGGTGCCTGAAGGTCGATCCTCGTCTGGTGCAGCGTTCCCTTCGTCGGCGATCGTCAACGCTGTGAATCTTTCTCCTTCCCCAAGTATTCCACGCTGGTCGGGAATTGCGGGACAATTTACTCCCAATGTGACCGATTCTCTTCTGCT